GTTTCTCTTATATCCGGGTTTGGTCTATTTTATATACATTAACTCAGGCTCTAATTTGGGACCAGAGAAAATCTCTCTTATATCCGGGTTTCACTTATATCCGGGTCTCTTATATCCGGGTTACACTGTAATACAATAATCCATATTTCTATTAATTCTATGCCATCAGAAATATTTTTAAGAGAGAAGTGTTTCATACTATTTTTTCTGTCTTTCAGTTTCTCTTCCAGAAGAAGTCATCTTTCTTCGAAGATGTCATACTTCCACCCATTTTAAAATTCTTCACTTCTTTCTCTTACCTATTCTATCGTTTGTCCCGTTTCCTACTCTTATTCCTACTCTTTTGCCTTTCCTTTTTTTTCTTTTTTCTTCTTTTTCTTTTTATCCTTCTAATCCTTGTATATTCTTTTTTCTATTCTTCCCATTCTTTTGTCTTCCCTCTCTTTCTCCATCTTCTCCTTGGTTATTCCATTTTCTTATCTTCTCTTTCTCCTCTTACTTTTCCTTTCACATTTCTCTTATATTTCTTTTTCTTCTATTCTGCCTTCTTCCTTTTATGTATTTCCTTTTCTTTTGTTATCCCTTTTCTATTTCCCTTCTTTTCCTTCTTTAACTTTTCTCTGTTTCTTTCACCTTTCATTTGCCTTTTTTTTTTCATTGTGTGGAGTAATGGATAGCGGCTCACATTTAAGAATCGGAGACCTGAGTTCGAATTCTAGTCGAACCCATTACATTCACTTACGTGCTATTAACCTTGGAAAAGTATGAATCCTCGTCTCCCTCACAGCTATGGGTAAATAGCAATACAGACAGTGTTGATTGGCAACTGGTCTACTGCAGAAAGAAAACCTACCGCGGGAAAAAAAAAAGTCTCCCTCTTCAGTCATATATCGAAAGGTACATGATCGACTAAGCGTAATGGCTGCTGAGCTGTAGCCGCGAAGTGAATAAGGCCGAAATTATAGTGTTGATAACTCCTAAACGGTTTCCGCCATCTTTTATGCTATTTTCGAAATAAGCCTGCAAATTTACACCAAAATGGAAATTTTCTGAAAATGTTAATTAAAATAAGTGTTCGGGGCTAAATCTGCAAATTTACCTTTTTTTAAAAAAAAATACCTAGTTTTCTTTTTCAGCTTAGAGAGCAGAGAAAATTAACAAAGACTAAATTCTCGACAGCAGGAAGAGTGAGGGACAAATTGGATACCCATCATCATTTTCTATGCTGATAACAAAGCGTCTTTCTATATATTCGTCACATAACACACAGGGAACAGACTTTGTCCATTTTTTATTCAGATCTTCATAGATAATTCTGTGTAATTTGCTACACCAACTGAAAACTGTATGCTTATTTTCTTTGTAGACACCTGTCGGTCTTCATCCAGAAAACTCAATTTACTCAAGCAGCACTGATGTTCTGACATCCCTCTCTTCCTCACCCCTCTTTGCCTCTTTGAACTTTTTGTACCACGGAAAAACAGATGCTCGGCTCATACAAGTCAATCCATACGCAATATGGTGCATTTCAGAATTTCTTTAGCGTTTTTCTCCCAGTTCAACTTGTCCTGGGTATGATGATAAACCACATCCGTGTCTTAGGTAAGAAATTAAACTACATCCAAAGCAAGGCCTCTGATTGGAGTATTGAGAACTGTGGAAACACATCCTAATTGCTAGTGTTCCCACGTCTACCTGAGCCAGCGTGGTAGTACCTGTTAGAGTTCTAGCTATGGGCAAATACTTGACACCCCTGTAACATGGGTCAAAACGATGTAAATGTGTAAATATAGGTATTGGTACCAGCAATACATTTTTGTGGAAAAATTATTACCAAAAATACATTTTCGAGAAAAAAAATTACCCGCATTAAATTTATGACGGAAACATTATTAATAGCAATATAGTTTTGAAAGAAGAATTATTATCAGAGATACAATTTGAAAGGAAAAATCATTGCCAACAATATATTTTTTAGGAAAAATTGTTACTGGCAATGCTTTTGTAAAAGAAAAATTATTGCCAGCAATACATTTTTAAAGGAAACTTATTACAAACAAAATATTACCAGCAATTCATTTTTGGAAAAATATTACCTGCAATCGATTTTTGAAAGAAAAAAAACATTACCAGCTATACATTTTTGAAAGAAAAAAGAATTACCAGAAATAAAAAAAATCGTCGGCATTAAATAACCCATTGAAGTTGATATGTTGTAAAACAAAACAAACCAAACCAAACCAAACCCAGTTCAACACAAAACTTTGTGGTATAGCGATCTTCGAAAATGTTTTTACGTTCAGACTGCAATGTATAATAGGTGTGTTCCAAGAGCTACTGCAGTCGCCTCCTTCATTCTAGAAGAAAAAAAATTGTGAAATCATCTTAGTTGATGTACTAAACTTACTATAGTCAACACCAGTTCCAACTGCCTCTCCAAAAAATATTAAAACCTCCGGAATGCACCTCGTAAATGCATCAGCAAACTTATATTATAAGCTGAAAAGTTACTAACGATTTGACTATTCAAAACGGAACTTTTGTTTGGTTCAAAGGTGAAAGGAGTCTTATTTCTTGCTAAAACCGCTTCTATCACTTACGATGTTCGAATGAAATATCGAAAGTTAACCTCGCATTTTTTTTCTTGGCACCTTTTACTAGAGTGTAACCTCGTCTTCTCTTTGCCACGCTTTTATCACATCTCTTTATCACTGCAATTCCCAATTTAGCTTGCTTCGCTGACAGGACGGGTTTTTGGAGCCCACTTAGATAAACAACACTTCTCTTTGTCTTTAATGTCTTTTCCACTTGAGTTACCATTCGTCATGAGAAATGTTTTCGAGGACTACGCTGAAAGCAGTCCATAGGCATACCTTGTGCAATCTGTGATCCGTTTAAAATATCTTTTTTCAAGAATTGATGTTACAATGCTATGTTTTATAGAACACGAGTGAGTTGTATTAAAACAGTCATTTTACATTAATGTCAAAATCGAGGTGCAACGGTTAGCAATCAGGTCTTACTAGATCAATTACAACTGACTAAAGAGTTCGATAATCAATCGGTACTCCTTTTTTTCGGCCTTGTGCAACATCTAAGTTACGCTTATAAAAACACCATTATTGTCAAAGCGACTAAACTGCCACTTTAAATTAGGTATTAAATACAATGACACTATTTTTAATTTACACATGTACATTGGGATAGCAAAATATGTCTTCCAAAAGCTGAACAAAGAATAAAAAAACAGGAAAATTTCTTCAGAAACAAAGAAAAAAGTACTTTTCAGTTACGTAATATCAGTCCTCCTATATGGCCGTGAATGCTGGACAGTTTCCCCACAGATGAGGGAGAGAAACTTGGGATGATAGAATTGTGGTTCTACAGAAGGATGCTGAAAATAACACGGGGTGAAGTTTTAGAGGAAAAGGAAAGAAAAAGAACAATTCTACAGCTATTAGTCAGTTGTAATTGATCTAGTAAGACCTGATTGCTAACCGTTGCAATTCTACAGCAGAAAGAGACATCTGAAATTTCTAGGCAACCTAATGAAGAAAGTGAACATGTAAATTCGACAATCACGGGATATATTGAATATTAAAGGGGCAGAGGAAAACAGTACATATCATATCTAACTAGCTACTGTAAGTGGATGAAAGAATAGAGATAACAAAAAAAAATCAAAACAATATTTATTGAGAGTAAATTGTAGAGAGATGAATGATCGCTAATGTCTTGAAGGAATTCCGCACATAAAAGTAGAATTTATTTGAAAAGAAAATGTTTGTTTGTATACTTTTTCGTCATTTTTCATCGAAATAAATAAATAATTTGAATCAAGCATGAGAGGCTCTCTCCTAATGCAGAGTTCGCATACATATGTAAAAAACACATGTATCTTACTTTTATTTAAAATTCCCCTGTAATTAAAAATCAATTTTCTCATTATATTCCAGGCAGTATTGTTTACAACCAATTAAAAGTTCTACTAATTCAGGTTGTTTGAAACTGTTATTAGTTTGGTTTGGTTCAGTTTGTTTTACGGTATATCAACCTCAATGGGTTATTTAATGTCGACAAGATTTTTATTGCTGGTAATATTTTTCCTCCACAAATATATTGCTGGTAAATTTTTATTTCCAAAAATATATTGCTAGTATTTTTTCCCAAAAAAGTACCTCTGGTAATAATGTATTTGTGATGACACTTTTTTTCTCCAAAAATTCATTGCTGGTAATAAGAGCTATTTTTACACATTTTAACACCAGTTTGGGGGTTAACTATTACCCAGAGCTGAGACCCTAACAAGTACTACCACCCCGGGTCGGGATGGACCTGGGAACACCAGCAATTAAGAGGTGGTTCCACGCTCCTCAAAACCTCCTGATCAGAAACCTTGCTGTCTGATGTAGTTTATCGTGATATCCAGGATGCGGAAGTAGTTTATCGCCTTAACCAGGACGTGGATGTATTTTGTCGTCTTGCCCAGGACGCAGATGTAGTTTATCGTCATACCAAGGACAAGAAAGTGTTAATAAATGTTTTCATTGCAAAATAGAGATAAAGGTAAGGTTACCTTTAAATATTATAGATTTTTATATAACCTTGGAACATTTATCTAATTTGTAAAACGATTACGGAGAAAAACAGTAAGAATTGAACTAATTGCTGAAGAATGCACAGCTGTCGGTTGATGAATTCGGATGATTATGTGAACTTTGTAAAATAGAAGTTTTTGAAATTAGAGATTATTAATAAAAAAATCATTTGCGTTACTTTCAGCAAATTGTTAATTCCCCACAAGTTTATTTAAAATGTCAGAATTCAATCAAACAATGTAAATATTGGCTGATTGAGAAGTTATCATGCTAGTGACTTATACTAAACAAAATATAAAATTTAAAATCGCAGAACTAGAGCTAAAACATGTAAAATATCTGTCATATTATCAAGGAAAATTGAAGTTGAAAGCACGCAAACACACACACACGCACACACACAGATATATAGAGAGATAGATAGAAAGAAAGAAAGAAAGAAAGAAAGAAAAAAAGAAAAAATAGCTCGATAGATAGGAACAGATTTATACATATATATTTTACATTATATATAAATATATATAAACAGGCTGATATATATATATATATATATATATATATAGACATGAAAAATTTAAAGAACAGTCGTATATATAAATAGAATGGTAGATAGATTGAAATGAAGACAGATAGACATACAAATATATGCATAGATCTGAACACACACACCTGCACACACATGAACTGAGATAGATAGATAGATAGATAGATAGATAGATAGATAGATAGATAGATTCAAACAGCAGTAGATAGAAACAGTCTGAAATTGCTAAATAGATCAAGCTGGAGACAAATACGAAGACAGCAGCTAAAGTTAATTTCCGCCCGTGACACAACGGTCGCCCATATGTCCAATAGATTTCACAGTCATCAGATGTTGCCAGAGGCAAAGATGGCCGAAGACAGTCAGAGCACAATGGCGTTGGTGAAGACGAACGATCGTTAAGTCCCTATCCCTGGAGCTAAAGCGCTGATACAATTGAAGCACAGTGCCCTCATTGTACAGAACAGGAATTAACAGACTGTTTATTCCGCTTTTATAAATATTTCTACTAATTAATGTTTCCTTCCTTCCCTAACCCTTCAGAATTTGTCTGATTCTTCTGCCATTTTTCGCGGGCTATTATATTTTTCCCGCGTCTTTTCCTGCATTTAGGAAATGGCTCCTTTATGAGAACGGAGTGTAGCAATCATTGAAGAAAAGTGGCTATTGAAATTTTCTGTTTTCGTTTCCTCACGTGTTTACAAAAACCTACATTGTTTCAAGGAGAAGAAAATGCATGTATATGTATATCACCAAGTAAAGAAAAATAATGATGTAATCAAGATGTTAACATTCCACACAGTTTCATATAAAAGGTTTCTTATAAATACTGGAAAGAGTCTTAACAGCTTCTCGACTTGAGAAACTTATTTTCCTGATAAGATGTTTTAAGAGAAAGATTCTATAAATTTCAACTGGATGTAATAACAGCCGTTCGGCTAAGGAATGTCAATTTTTCCTTGTAAGGAAACGGTTACCATTACCATTACCTCATTATTTTTCACATGCTATGCATACAAAAGCAATAATAATCAAATCAAAAACGTCATATTTACCGTATGAACACAATGAAAGTAGTTCTTTTTTAATTGGCTTGAGATTAGCCTGGAAGATGTACGACTAAACCAAGTTCTCACCTGGGAATTTTCGTGTATAGGTTATTATTTCTCCTAAAATACTGCTAAAATATTGTTTCATTACTTATAATATTCCTATTAAGAAGGGGATATTATGAAGTATGTTATTTAAATGTCATTACAATATATATATATATATATATATATATATATATATATATATATATATATATATATATATATATTGAACAATAGACAGGTTTCTGCTTTATAATCACGCGTTAATTAATAGCAGTTTTCTGTTTTCTTTCACAATTTCAAATTCTCCCTAGCATTTCTATGTATTAAACATTGTTAATTAAAAATAAATAGGATCTAATTATGATAAGCAAAGATTTCCGTGCCTCTTCTCATGACATAATTGTGTCAGGGACGCTTTTTCATACAAATCATTTTCCTGCCTGCAAAAAACAGATCGATATTTAGTATTATTTTCTGCCAATTATAACGTCGTATCAACAATATTATTTATTTCTCCATATTGATTTTTTAAAATGTCTTGCTTACTCTCATAACCGGCCGATTGGAACTGTTTTCAAAATCGATCGTTGTTGCCGGGATCTATGAATTGTTCCAATTGGGTTAGCGATCAAATGATCTCAATTTAATCGAACTCGAAAATGAGATAATTTCATTAATAATCTATCACTACTCTTCATCTCATTGTTACATTTTATCACAAAATTCAAGGTCGAATAGACTACAAATGTGGAAATAAATGGCATAGAGTTGGAATAAAATAAAAATAAAGCACATAAAGTTTCCTCTGTCATTGACGCTAAGATAAGCAATACTAAAATTTTCTAAATTTATTGTGTCGTAAAAACAGTTCTTATTTTTTTGTATTAGCAGTAAAAATGATTAAACTATGAATATCAAATAGTAAGAACAATAAAACAAATAAAAGAATAAATAACATAAGTACTAAATAGTAAAACTTCAGACACGAGTTGTATATTTGAGATGAGGATGCAAAAAATTTATAGCCGACTAATACATCCTCGCCATACGATCCTAGGACCATATCAGCTAATGCGCCGAATATGAAAGATAAATTTAAGGGATACAGGTTGAAAATTCAAGTATGGTGACTTGACGTTAATTAATTTAACAGTTAAACCTGCCAATAGCAACAGCATTGTGTCTTTAAATATATATTTATAATTCCGCAAAATTAAGGCAAGTTTTCTAACATAAACAACCTTTCGGTAGAATGTATTTTTTCTTTTCTAATTTGAGTTTTCGTAAGTGAAAATATTATTTACAGTTAAGCGGATCGCTCCTTTAACTTCAATATATCATGTAAGTATTCATTCAAAGAAGTCACTGTCATGGGTCCTTACCTATAACTACAGAATGAACTCTTCCTAAGACTATGTATACTATGCCTCTCAAGAGAGAGGGTCGATTCAAGCCGAGCTTCTCGACTTGACGGTCGAACTCTCTGCTTTTGAGCAGAAAGGAACCCGGACGAGGTTCCGCCGAAGGGCAGAATCTCGTTCGGGGTAAAATGACCTGCCGATCTCGTTTTTACGAGTCATACGGGCATATTTTTGGCTGAGCCTACGGGCTCAGGAAACCCACGATAAAAATGACCTTGTGTCGCATGCAACCCTCGTGGGGGTGGCTAATACTGATTCAAGCCGAGCTTCTCGACTTGACGGTCGAACTTTCTGCCTCTGAGCAGAAAGGAACCCGACGAGGTTCCGCCGAAGGGCGGAATCTCGTTCGGGGTGAAATGACCTACCCGATCTCGTTTTTACGAGTTATACGAGCATATTTTTTGGCTGAGCCTACGGGCTCAGGAAACCCACGATAAAAATGACCTTGTGTCGCATGCAACCCTCGTGGGGGGTGGCTGAATACTGATTCAAGCCGAGCTTCTCGACTTGACGGTCGAACTTTCTGCCTTTGAGCAGAAAGGAACCCGGACGAGGTTCCGCCGAAGGGCAGAATCTCGTTCGGGGTGAAATGACCTACCCTATCTCGTTTTTACGAGTTATACGGGCATATTTTTGGCTGAGCCTACGGGCTCAGGAAACCCACGATAAAAATGACCTTGTGTCGCATGCAACCCTCGTGGGGGTGGCTAGATACTGATTCAAGCCGAGCTTCTCGACTTGACGGTCGAACTCTCTGCCTTTTGAGCAGAAAGGAACCCGGACGAGGTTCCGCCGAAGGGCAGAATCTCGTTCGGGGTGAAATGACCTACCCTATCTCGTTTTTACGAGTTATACGGGCATATTTTGGCTGAGCCTACGGGCTCAGGAAACCCACGATAAAAATGACCTTGTGTCGCATGCAACCCTCGTGGGGGGGCTAGATACTGATTCAAGCCGAGCTTCTCGACTTGACGGTCGAACTCTCTGCCTTTGAGCAGAAAGGAACCCGGACGAGGTTCCGCCGAAGGGCAGAATCTCGTTCGGGGTAAATGACCTACCCGATCACGTTTTTACGAGTTATACGGGCATATTTTTGGCTGAGCCTACGGGCTCAGGAAACCCACGATAAAAATGACATTGTGTCGCATGCAACCCTCGTGGTGGGGTGGCTAGATACTGATTCAAGCCGAGCTTCTCGGCTTGACGGTCGAACTTTCTGCCTCTGAGCAGAAAGGAACCCGGACGAGGTTCCGCCGAAGGGCAGAATCTCGTTCGGGGTGAAATGACCTACCCGATCTCGTTTTTTGCGAGTTATACGGGCATATTTTTGGCTGAGCCTACGGGCTCAGGAAACCCACGATAAAATGACCTTGTGTCGCATGCAACCCTCGTGGGGGGTGGCTAGATACTGATTCAAGCCGAGCTTCTCGACTTGACGGTCGAACTTTCTGCCTTTGAGCAGAAAGGGGGGAACCCGGACGAGGTTCCGCCGAAGGGCAGAATCTCGTTCGGGGTGAAATGACCTACCCGATCTCGTTTTTACGAGTTATACGGGCATATTTTTGGCTGAGCCTACGGGCTCCAGGAAACCCACGATAAAAATGACCTTGTGTCGCATGCAACCCTCGTGGGGGGTGGCTAGATACTGATTCAAGCCGAGCTTCTCGACTTGACGGTCGAACTTTCTGCCTTTGAGCAGAAAGGAACCCGGACGAGGTTCCGCCGAAGGGCAGAATCTCGTTCGGGGTGAAATGACCTACCCGATCTCGTTTTTACGAGTTATACGGGCATATTTTTGGCTGAGCCTACGGGCTCAGGAAACCCACGATAAAAATGACCTTGTGTCGCATGCAACCCTCGTGGGGGGTGGCTAGATACTGATTCAAGCCGAGCTTCTCGACTTGACGGTCGAACTCTCTGCCTTTGAGCAGAAAGGAACCCGGACGAGGTTCCGCCGAAGGGCAGAATCTCGTTCGGGGTGAAATGACCTACCCGATCTCGTTTTTACAGAGTTATACGGGCATATTTTGGCTGAGCCTACGGGCTCAGGAAACCACGATAAAAATGACCTTGTGTCGCATGCAACCCTCGTGGGGGTGGCTGAATACTGATTCAAGCCGAGCTTCTCGACTTGACGGTCGAACTCTCTGCTTTTGAGCAGAAAGGAACCCGGACGAGGTTCCGCCGAAGGGCAGAATCTCGTTCGGGGTGAATGACCCTACCCGATCTCGTTTTTACGAGTTATACGGGCATATTTTGGCTGAGCCTACGGGCTCCAGGAAACCCACGATAAAAATGACCTTGTGTCGCATGCAACCCTCGTGGGGGGGTGGCTAGATACTGATTCAAGCCGAGCTTCTCGACTTGACGGTCGAACTCTCTGCCTTTGAGCAGAAAGGAACCCGGACGAGGTTCCGCCGAAGGGCAGAATCTCGTTCGGGGTGAATGACCTACCCGATCTCGTTTTTACGAGTTATACGGGCATATTTTTGGCTGAGCCTACGGGCTCAGGAAACCCACGATAAAAATGACCTTGTGTCGCATGCAACCCTCGTGGGGGTGGCTAGATACTGATTCAAGCCGAGCTTCTCGACTTGACGGTCGAACTTTCTGCCTCTGAGCAGAAAGGAACCCGGACGAGGTTCCGCCGAAGGGCAGAATCTCGTTCGGGGAGAAATGACCTATCCGATCTCGTTTTTACGAGTTATACGGGCATTTTTT